AAATAATTGCACAAAAATGACAGGAAATTTGTCAACAGAAAGATTGCTACGTGAAATTATACACTAATAATTAACACTGTAATAAAGAAGTTGAGTCGAGTTGCTTCCTGTAACATGAAACCCGAAAACAGGGACAGGATGACAAATGAACTGCAATTAGAGGGGATTAAGAGGTCTATTTTCAGTTATGCGTCGATAAACAACCTTTACCAAGATGTTTCAGACTGAAAAGGACAGATTAGCCTGCTGCGCGTTAAGTTCAACAATCAAGCAATGTCTTCTGGTTTTTATCGCAACCTTCCAACGAAACATATCGTAACTTGGGCGCAGCATGTCACGCGCGTTTGGCCACCCAGTTGTGACGTGTTGCGACATGTTGAGTGTCAAATTTTTCATGCAACATTTATGGATGTTGCATGATGTTTTTTCGAGTCTGACCAGGTTCGTGCAAAAGTCTACGGTCAGAGCATGCAATTCGATTTGCTATTTCAAAGCACTGGTCTTTAAGCATGGCGAAAGTGGCGCACAGTTTTAACGGCTGTGAAAAGAAATTAACGAGAAAAACATAGATGGAGAGGGAAGCAACTGATTCAATAGAAATGCTAGAGGGCCGTCCCTACCTGTGGAACATTTATGAGAAATGTTATCATTCAATAAACAAAAATCCTCTACGTAATTTACGCAGCGCTAGCCTGGGAACGTGCCAAAATTTTAAGTCCGCGCACGCCAGGAGACTGGGGGACTTAAGGCAGGGGTACACATGAATTTAGGTGAAATTTTAGGAAGTTGAAAGAGGGATTAAGTTAGTAAGGTGGGACTTAACCTAAAAACACACCATCTTTCAAACATTTTCTCGTGGCTAAGAGTTAACTCCAAACCATGGCAAAGTATATATTTTTAAAAAGCTCAAAGACCAAAGATTATGAAAAAAATATTTGTGTACCCTATAACTGTATTGTAACCTGACACCGGCTGATTAAATCTGCCACCTGCTGGGGAATGTCAGGGCTTACTTGAGAAAAGATAACTCCCACAAGAACTGATCAAAAGGAATAATTATACATTTTACAAAAGAAGACAAATAGTTTGCTGGGATAAGCATAGAGATTTTTGAAAAGTTAAAAACACGTAAAATGATTACCAGTTAAATCTGACACAGAAAATCTAGCATACGTTTCAATACATAACGTCGACAGACTGCACTGGATGGAAAAGTTCTATACTTATCCCACAGAACGTACTCAGAACAGCAAATCCTAAAAATGTTAGCTCCATTGAATAAATCCTTCTCAAGATATCTTTTCTACAAGGCGAGGGTAAAGCTAGGGTTATTATTAGCTAAGCTCAACACTAAGCTTTGCATTAGGGTTAGACCTAACCCTAACCCTTTAGGGTTAGGGTTCGGGGTGAAGTTAGGGCTAGGTCTAGTTTAGGGTTAGGGTTAGGGTTAGGGTTTAGGGTTGGGGTTAGGGTTAGGGTTAGGTCTAGTGCATCAGTTGAGGGAAGGAACTATAAGTTAGTTTAATAGGAAATGGTTGCACTGAACGTTCACTTCACTAATCAGCAATCAAAAATGTTTGTTTTAGGTTATGGCTCCTGGTATGAAAAAGGCGCTAGAAGTTAGTCACGTCACTTAAGGTAGCCAAATACCTGTTTCTTCACTTAGAGAAGACTTCAGTACAATTTTTTTATGAACACATTAGCAAGAAAAACGGGCAAAAGACGCTGAGCGCCAGAACACAATTACAAATGTTCATTTCACTAATAAAGTGATAAATATTTTATCACTTAACCTAAAAAGTTGTACCCTTAATAGGCCCTTTGCAGCTGGGTTCACGTGATCAAATTTTTCCTAGAAAATTTTTATATTATGGACTATAACTTAAAGAATGCCAGAAATGGAAAAAGCGCATCGAAAATACCAAAATGGCCAAGTTTGAGGATCCTGGAATTAAAGAGTAAGTTTATACGACAGTTTGAATCTTCAGAAAATTTAAAGAATTTGTATGTAAAATGTTGCTGGAGAGCAAGGTCTTGCTCTCCAGCAACTTTTTCCAGACAAATCTTCTTATTCTTTTAAAAATTCGGACAGTCATAAAATCTCTTTCTTTAATGATGGGGGCCTCAA